AAAATGGAATAAGAAGCAAAATCCAATAATATGTTGTATACAAGAAACACACCTAGTGCAAAAAGAAGCCCATAGACTGAAAGTGAAAAGATAGAAAACAATTCTCCATGTGACAGGAGCCCAGAAAAAAACAGGGGTAGCAATCTTATTTGCAGACAAAGTAAATTTCAAACCAAAACTGAATCTAGTATTATTGATGTAGGACAGTACTGTATCATACCTCTATGAATGTAAAATATCTAGTACCTGCTTTATGATACATAGTAGGGACCGTGCTTTATCAGAGCTACATTTAATGATATTACTCTAGAATGTTCTCTTTCCAGATGATGATTAAGAGGCTAATAGAAAAAATGGTGCCAGGTACCACAACAGCAACAGAACTTTGCTGTTGTCTGGATATTATTCTTTTCTTTGGTTTTTTTGTTTTTTTGGTTTTAATGAAATGTACTGAATGTCCATAATTTTGTTCAGATGACTGCAGAACCTGGAAAAGCTGGTGCTGCTATCGAGGCATAACATACTATTATTAGTCTTTTTATATATATATAAATTGAATTTTGGGAAACTTTAACGGTGCTGCCAACTTTGGAAAAAGTCATCCCAATTTACTGTGTTGAGTTGGCATTGTACAGAAATGGACAACCATATTGGTCTAGGAATGTTAATTTATTTTTATTTTTATTTTTATTTTTTTCCATGTGTACAGGGGTAACACATCGTACTAAATATGTAAGGTCATATCTACCTAGGTTTGATTACAGAAACTAATAAAGTATTCTTTAAATAGTGAGAAAAGAATAAGATAGACTATATAAGAGCGAGAAGCAATTTGAATATGTTCAGGGACCGTTTTCATCTCCAGAATTAAGGATTATTTTGATGTTACATCATTGCCTTTTCTCTTTTACTTTCCTTTTTAATTTTATTTTAGGATTCCCTATTTTTAATGTCCATACAGAGATTTCTTTAACTGAAATACCGAATAGTTTCTTTGGTGTGAAAAACTATAATAGTACACAGGATCCTAATGAGACAATTAATAATATGAAATAGGAAGTAAAGGGCTAAAGGTGTAAGGAAAGTGGGAAGGGTGGGGGAAAGGTAATAAGGGAGAGGAAAAAAAATATGAGAAACTGAAAAAATGGAAATAAAGTGTTTGTAAATGGAGAGGGGAGGAGGGGGTGAAGAGAGGGCAGGGACAAGGGGAAAAATGAGAATCAAGACCGATTATGTAAAGGTACAGAATCCCAATGATGAATGTAATTGTATTGTATACCTAGATTGTACCAATAACCTCAATAAAAGGAAAAAAAAAAAGTAAAAATCTGTTGATTCTTAAGAAGGTAACAACTGGAAGGAGATGTAAAGCAAAAACAAATGATCCAGTGGTGGAGGCCTTAGTAAAAATCAGGGTGAAACAGATAAAAAGAAACAGAAGCTGCACAAGTACTTTTATTATGGAATCACATCTTATATGCAAGTCCAAGAAGCCAGTTTTTCAAAGACAGCCTGTCTAGCTGTGTCCCCTCCTGCTCAGGTTGTGTGAGAAGAGAATACAAAGTTATCATTGAATTTGCAATGTGGAAGTCATCAACTTTAGAGTCTTTTCAAAGGAAAAGTGAGCATAAAGCCTAATTGGAATGGATCAAAGAGTGAAGGGGGAGAAAGTGAAGTCAGCAAAACCTTCTGAGTAATATTTTGCAGTGATCCAGAGCAGAGAAATGGAGCTGGAGGTAAAAGACAGATTTTGTTAGGGGCATTTCATGGAGAACATTTTTCACATTGGCAGTGGGAACACTTGAAGATTTCAGAATCAAAAAGTTTATTGAAAAGAGGAATATAGTAGGGAAAATTTGAAAGTAGAAGAACAGACTGGCTGTAGTCCAGGAATAAGAGAAGGATACAAACCTGGGTGGTAGCCACTGGCATTGAAATGGACAAAGAGGAATGCAAACTATTATAGAAAATAGTTGTGGGTATTTGCTGAAAGATTTTTGGCAGTCTTCCAGTCACTTTCTCAGAGACAAAACTGTGAACCTCAAACGAATCTTGGTGTAACCTTACTTCACGGAAAAGAAATCTGAGATCCAGAAAGAAGAGGCTAAAGTATCTTACAAGGAAAGAAATTATGTTAAATGTGCGCACACGTGTGCACAGACACACACACACACACACACACACACACACACACACATATTCCTACTATAAGTGCACCTGAGATTATTTCAGTTAGGGGTCTTGGATAAGATCATGGGAGCACTTTTCTTTTCTTTTTTATTTTTTGAGACAGGGTCTTACTATGTAGTTGAGACTGACCTGGAACTCACTATGTAGCCCAGGCTGGTCTCAAACTCACAGCGATCCTCCTGCCTCAGCCTCCCGAGTGCTGGGATTATAGGCATGCGCCACCATGCCCGGCTCTCTTTGGTCTTAACAGCCCCTATCTGTGAAGTGACAGGACCTTAGGCTTTCTACATTCTCATATCCTAGGTTTTCCCAAAAGGTCCGGGCCCTAATACACATTATCAGAACTTGCCCTCTACTCTGAAAG